GATTATTAGTATCTCTTGTTACGTTTCAACTCCAGAATTTAGATCTTATTGACAACAGCTGAATAAACTAATTAGGCCCTATTTGACATAAGAGAGTACTTTGCTGAATTCACTTTTCTTTTGGGGCCTACTGTTTTCTCATTTATTGCTTGTCCCTTGTTCATTATAAAGTCTTCAACTATTTATCCATTTGTTATTTCATTCACACTTTCTTTCAACAAATATTTATTTGTATTCTTACGAGGCAACGATGAAAGCAGCAGCCTGGGAAGGTTTCTGAGTCTCAAAAGGACAGACATTAAAGTTGAACATGATCTGGTCAATAAAAGAGATTTAACCATTTTGACAATCTTTGTTTGTTTGTTTTTTTAATTTATTTTTTATTTCAGATTAACACGAGGGTACAGATGATTAGGTTACACTGTGTGTGTGTGTGTGTGTGTGTTTGTTAGGGTTGAGCCCCTCCCCCCAGAGGTGTGTCAAATACCCTTACAGTGTGCTCATTAGGTGACAGTTTGCCAATCCCACTCTATCCTCTGTCCCCTCCCTCTTTATTCCCCACCACTTGAATTTGATTGTGTTCTTCTCTCATGTGGGTGTGTAGTTATTTATTTCATATTAGTATTGAGTACACTGGATGCTTGCAAATCCATTCTTGTTATACTTCACTGAAGAGAATGTTCTCCACTCTGTCCAGGCCAAGTTTACTCAGTCAAGTTTATTCTGTCTAACTCAGACACTCAGGTCTCTTCTTTTTTGAATAAAGCCAGGTCTTCTGTATTTTTCATTCTGTATGACTGTGCCCTCACATTCATTTTCTTTTAGGGTGGGGCTATTTTATGAATATTTAGACTTAAAACTAATTTCATAAAGCTGTTGGAGAAGCAATGTTAAATCCTTACACATATCCACTCATATCTCACAGTCTGCAGAGACAGTTTCCTAGAGATAAAAATGGTATTCCTAGCTTTTGTAAAATGTTTGGACTATCCTAATGAAAGCATCCAGAAAGTTACTCATTTGAAAGAAACTGGAAAGGTATGTAAAGTACACTGATGAAATATAATAATATGAATGGGCACTTACCCAAGTGTTCCACATATATTTAACTTTTTTATAATAAATGCAAGCAGATCACAGTTTCTTCTAGGTTACTTTTGTTCCGATATATCCTGCTCTTTCCCTTTCTGATTGAAACATCCCAAAAGTATATGAAAACACCAGAACAGTGGTCTACCCAAGCTGTTAGGGTTGTATCTTTGGTCATTTGGGAAACACTTGGAAATTAATAAAGCCAAATTCTATAAGTTGAATTGAAATCTCCATTAACAAGGACTGCAGTTCCTTCTAAGCATGAATAACCACTTTTGTGACAAAGTTCCTTTTTGATAGGTTACCTCTCAGTAAAGACATGGATATCATTCATCAGCACGTCAAGAAATACTACTGCAATTTATGCGCAAATTAAATAGTAAATTTTGTTTTTGTGTTCCAGTTTTATATGCCTTACCAAAAGTCTATAGTGACTTAGACTCACTATACACAAAAATAAAATTAAAATGCACTTAATCATGAAGCTACCAGGAGACACTATTGAGGAAATACTCCAGGACATTGGTGTGGACAAAGATTCCTTGAGTAATACCTCAAAGGCACAGGCAACCAAAGCGAAGATAGGCAGATGGGATCTCAACAAGCTAAAACACTCCTACTCAGAAAAGTAGAATCCCAAAAAATAAACAATCCCAAAATAAAGAATCAACTCACTTAATCAGTAGTAAATATTTGCAACTGACAAGAGATGAATGACTAGAATGTATAAAGAGCTCCCACTACTCAATAGAAAAAAAAATCAAATAATCCAGTTAAAACTTGAACAAAAGATCCGAAGAGACATTTCCCATAAGACATAAAATGGTCCACAGATATGTGAAAAAACACTCAATGTCACTAATCATCAGAGAAATGCAAATCGAAACAACAATGTGATATGGTATCTCCTCAACCCAGTTACATTGACTTTTACGTAAAAAATAGGCAATCACAAATGCTGGCCTGGGTGTGGACAAAGGGGAACCCTCATGCATATTACTGGGACTGTAAACTGGTACAACCACCAGGGAGAACAGTCTGGAGGTTCCTCAAAAATCTAAAAGTAGAACTACCCAAAACTCAGCAATCCCACTGATAGATCTATAAGCAAAAGAAAGCCTATCAATGTATTGAAGAGATCTCAGCACTCCCCTGTTGACTGCAGAATTATCCCTCATAGCCCAGATTTGGAATTAACCTACTTGTCCATCAGTTGATGAATAAAGAAAATATGGCACCTATTCATAGTGGGGTGTCATTTGCAACATCAATGGAACTGGAAAACATTATGTTAAGTGAAAAAAGCCAAGCACAGATGACAAATTAATAGAACTAGACAAATTTCTAATGTTCTCACACGTAGGAGCTAAAAATTACTACAATTGATCCCATGGAGATGGGAATTAGAACCACAGTTGCCAGAAGCTGGGATCGGTAGCAGAGAGCAGGGGGATATAACGTACATACTTGATGGGTACAAAAATACAGTTAGATGAAATGAACAAAATCTAATGTTTAATAGCCCAACAAAGTGACTAATATCAAAAATAAGTTATACATTTTAAAGGAACTAAAAGAGTAGAACTGCAATCTTTCCACCACAATGAAGTAATAAATGCTTGAGCTGGTAGGTGCCCTAATTACCTTGGTTTGGTCACTAAACATTAACATCATAAGTACCCCATACTAATTACAACTATAACTGCCCATGATATTTAAAAATAAAAAGTAATTCCTTAGTTCAAATAAACATCAAAAATTCATGCTAAAATCATTATTTCTCTAAAAGTAAAGAATAACTGAACCACGGGTTCATTCTTAAATATATACAGTTGCTTAAATTAGTTTGGAAGCGTAATATAGAAATTCTGTCACTTTTCACACATAAATCTAGTTTCCTAAATATATGTTACTTGTTTCACGTATATCTAGAATAACTTAAGGAATCCTTCCATTTCTTCTTTATATTGCTAAAAGTTAAAGAATATGTTTCATGAATTTTATATTGATGCTTAAAATAATTTAAGCAACTATAAAGTAACTGAAGAAATGAGATATAATATACAAAATCCAAAGAAACACAGTAAAATCATCAAGCAATTTTTGGTAGGTCTCTTTTGGAAATTCAGTATTTTTAGTATTTATTTCAGAAAGTTTCATCTGTAAATCCAGTGAGTATGTGCAATGTTTGTATCAAGTTTCTCCTCCAACCTTGATAGATGGTCCTCCACCAAGGCAACAGTTTCACCCTGCCATCTAGTGGAAGAACTGTAACACTACCAGGACACTTGGGAAAATTTATACATAAGGCTTCAAATAAGAGAACAAAATCACTTTCTTGTGTTTTTGACATTTTAAGTTTTAAATTTTTAAACTGAATCTGACAAGAAGGGTAATTTTATGATGATGTTAAAGGAGAATTATTTAAATTAAATGTAAATAACTAGATTTTGTAATAATGATTTCACAACAGTGTAAATGTGATGCACTTTTGACATTAAATATAAATAAATAGTGAAAAAAACACAGGAGATAAAAAGAACAAGTAAAAGACTCAGCTTTTTGAAAGTTGAATAAATAGCGTGCAACTATTAGTGTAAGTATCTCTCTTTGAAGAAATAACTAAAATGTTGGGATAAGAAATGGTTCTTAGCCCTTCCTTAGTCCTGTTCATGTTACGTCAATTGGAAATCTTTTTTAACATGTTCTCATTTTTGAATTAAAAATATAAATTGCAATAATAATGATATAGTAGTTTTAATGTACAAAAGAATAATAATACAGATGAAGTCAATCTTTCTGTATGTGCAGAGTAAATATACACCATCATTTTTAGTATAACAGAAAAAGAAGCTCATTGTCATTTACTGTTTTGTGTTTGCAGATTTGCCCAAGATTAACAAATGACGAACCAGAGAAATGGCTAGAACTTCTGGCTTCAAGCACAATGTTGTCACACGATGTTGCCTTCACAATACAATGATCAATTCTTGATGACCTAATATTTTCCTTCAAAACTTAATTACCTAAAATCCACAGAGTTATTACCAGTGGTTTATGTTTGAGCATGTTACACATATCTCCATGAACAGGTGTGTAGGTAGGAAGGTAGGTCAATTATTTTGAAGAAACATTTTTAAATATTGGGAGTTAAATATCCTGCTAAGAATGATACATCTGAGAGAAAGGAAACTAAACGGTCTCCGAAAGGAAAGCCCTCTGTGATAATTATGAGACCTTGTGGGTCCCAAGCTGCAATGCTCCCCTCATCTCTTCACACCCCTTGCTCCATCGCATACTGTGAGGGAGCTTCATACACATGCCTTTGTGAGACCTCAGCCCACACGTGCAAGCCCAGACTACACCTCCCTACACACACCCCACATCCAACCTCAACCCAAAAGCAGGCTCTGCAGTTTGGAGCAGGAATCCGGTAACTCAGTTGCCTCCAATATGTTCAGACTTCCTCACTGGCCTCCATGGGCTCCACGCCAGCTCCTCACCCTGCCTGGAGGGGCACAACTGGGGTCTACTGAAAAGTCTCAGGTTGGGACTGGCTCACACACAGTGTTGTTTATACATGGACACTGTCTGCACTATAGGATGAACAGGTGTTCTGAAATGATGGTGTCAGAGGGGTTCCTGCTGAAATGCATTTATCCTAGTTTGTGCATTTCAGGCTTTTGTTCTAGAAGTTCTTACGATACGCAACAACTAAGGGTAACTGTCATGGTGCGCTCGTAGTAGGTCTGACTCATGAGAACCACCTGTGAAACACCAGTCCCTCTGATTTGTGATGTCAACCACAGAGACCAATTTTCCCTTTAAATATGAGCTGTCTGTGAAGAGTCAAGATCATGTCAGATACCTGCGGCATTATCCTATTACAGGCAGACATATATACTCACCATACTGTTCATTTTTGAAGACGAGGAACCCGCTCTTTGCTTTCTTAAACTATTAACTTCTTCTCCATGCCCATCTTTTGGTTTTAAAATCATTCTGCTACTCCCCGCAGTTCCCTCTGATGAGGATCGCAGTCGCCGCTCTATAAATCTTCCTTCACGATATGGGCTGAGGCTACTGGCAAGAACTAGTAAAAGAAAAAATTAATGTAAATATGTAAAGGTAGCTTTTGTAGATGTTCCATTGAAAAATAATGGAAAATGTTTAGTGTCATTCAAAACTTTTCTATCACAAAAAAACTTGTAAATTTATATTGGCAGTTCGGTTTGCTTAATCATGCAATCCTTTTGAAGCCCAAACCTACTGGAGTCAGCCTTGGGGCTTGGTTATAGTTCCCAGGAACCACATAAACAAATCCTGTTCTTATTTGCCTCAAATTTTATGTAGAATCTCAACACTTGTCACCACTTTCCAAACTAAGAACCTGGACCAACTCCCACCCATGCTTGACTGGGTTGAGGCAATCCTTGCTGCAATTCTCCTCCTCACTGGACCCTCTGCTGTTCCTGGAACACTGCAGGCATGCCACAGTACCACTGTCTTTGACCTAGGATTTGTGCACTAATACGCTTCTCTCCCAAATGTCAGGATGGCTTACTCCCTAAATTCTATTCAAATCTTTGCTAGTATGTTATGTTGGGTAGCACTCTACTCACCATATTTAAAACTGCAAATTCAGTGGTGCCCGTAGCTCAGTGGGTAGGGCACCGGCCACATACACCCAGGCTGGCAGGTTCGAACCCGGTGTAGGCCAGCTAAAGGACAATGACAAAATGCAACAACAACAACA